GGTTGTTTTCTTGCAAACATTTCGTTACCAGGCTAGGTAACACATTCAGTACTAGATGCTACCTAGCAGGGTAACAAAACATTTGCAAGAAAACAACCAAGCTCAGAGAACCCCAAGGACTCCATAGTTCAACCCTGAGCTACACCTATTCACTTCTATTGGTAAAGGCATTTTAATCCTAGCTTGTAAACAGTTATATTGTTGGCATAATTTGGACATGATATAGTATATAGTTGCTTGGTGACATCATCAATCTTAAGAATTTCTGTCTACAAAATAGTTTCTTTCTCAAGAATAAATATATCAAGATAGCAACCAGCATTTTCCCCAAGCAACAGCCATTTAATGCTCATCCAGAATTTCTAGACAATGTCCATAATTCCCTACCACCATAAATGCTGATCCTGTTGGCTGAGAAATAGTGGAGTTGTAATTCCAACCCATTTGGAGAAGACCAGGTTGGGGAAATTTGTCCTAAGGCAAGCCATTCTGAACATTACAATCCTCGTTCTAAGATGTTGATATAGTGTGGATTAAATAATGAATCAAGGGCATTATTATTTTATTAAATGCAGTTTGCATTTACCCTAGTTTTGAGATACTAATCATGCTGCATTATTTACCTTTATAAAATTAGGGATTGAACAGATGTTTTAAATGTATATTTATATACTGTATTTAAATAATGTTACATCTAGCCCTGCCTGTGAAGCTTGTTTTATTAAAGAATACTCTTTTTTAAAAAAAACCTTGTTTCTATGAATATATAGCTCATCTAGACAATATAGGGTATGGAAGTTTAAGTGGTTTGCTCATGCTACAAAACAGGAATAGGAAATCTTTCAATGAGTCAGGGGAAAATTGTGTATATACAGTGGAACCTCGAGTTACGAATTTAATCCGTTCCGTGACTCTGGTTGCAACTCGAATTGTTTGCAACACGAGGCAAATTTTCCCATAAGGTTCAATGTAATTACCATTAATCCGTTCTGGCGTCCGTGGACCACGCGTCAGGGGCGGAAAATCGGCCCCGGACCACGCAGCAGGGCAGAAAAACGGCTGCAGACCACGTGGCAGGGCGGAAAAACAGCCGCAGACCACATGGAACGGGCAGAAACCCGGCCACAGACCACGTGGAACAGGTGGAAAATGGCCGCAGACCACGTGGAACGGGTGGGAAATGGCCGCGGACCACGTGGCATGGGTGGAAAAATGGCCGCGGATCACGTGGAACGGGCAGAAAATGGCCGCA